CTGTTGCCAATGGGAGCTTAAAGACGATTCATATTCAGTCTACGCTGTCCTCAAGACGACCCCTCTGAATCTGAGAGTCTAGGAAGTCTTTCTTTCGACACTTTCTGGGGTGTATGCCATCAACTAGAGCTCGCCGGGCATCTCTATCTTGGGCTGTCCTTTGGACATCGCTCCAGGTGTAACCTTTCTTTCTGCAATCCAATTCAAGGTCTCAGCGCCAGGTGTTTCTTTGCCTTCTGCTTTTCCTACCCTTACTACCTCCTCTTTTGTTTTTTCTCTAGCTAGTTTAGGAAGTCCTGACCAAAATACACCCAACCCATTTCTGAGCTGATCAACCAATTTGGGTTGTTTTTAACCCAGGGACTGGGTAAATATAGGCAGAAACCAGAATGTTGGGTTAATTGTCCCCAGAAAGTTGTGTTGTTTATTTAACCCAGCCTATTGGGTTCATTTAACCCAGTGTAGTTGATCCATTTTGACTATAATACTAAAACAACACTGGGTTGGAGCAGCTAGGTAACACAAAAAACTACCCCAATACTGAAAAAAATTACAAGATCACGAAGGAGAAGAGCGTTGAGGTTTTAAAAGGGAAACATGCAAGGTTGGATTGATTCTGTGTTGGGAAGGTAACTGTCGCCGGTAAGCATCATGGTTAACCAATGAAACGAGGACTTCCCCAGCCTAGGGGAATTGGCTGATAAGCAGTGGTTTGGCAGGTTTGGAAGGAAGCGGATCGAACTGTTTTGCTGGTGTTGGCTAGACTGCGTAAATCCAGCCTGACACACCTTGGGGGGAGAAGAACCCTGGACACAAACTGTGGACCCAGTATTGGCCCTTCTAACATGTCTCAGGCCTGGATGCCATGTTGGACCAGTGTTTCCATGATCTCTAGGGCAGTGGGTAGGGCTTTGAATGGCATCACACCACATGCCCAGGGATTCCTGTCGACTGCCACGAACACACAGAAACCACCCGTAGGTTGGTGTTACAAGAAACAGACAGAAGCAGGAGTTTCCAGCATAACCATCAAGAGGATTTGGCCATGGCACAGTTGGGGCATGCTTGAACAAATGGACGTCCTGGGAGATACAGGGCCACCAGTAGTGGTCGCAAAAGGTGAAAGAGGGTGTGAGTGATCCCTTTACGAATCTCTGTGGGTTTTGCAAATACGTAAACAATGAGAAATATTAAAAAGAACTTGACCAAATCTCATAACTTCACTGGCCTCTCAATACTGTCAGTCAGACCTCATAACTCCGCCCATCTCTATCATGATTGCACAGGCAGTTTGGAGCATCTCTGCTTATTTACCATGCAAGGGTAAATAAAGAATTGGCTCTTTGAATAAGTACAATGATTTCTTTTCTTAAAGGGTGGTCAGAGCTTGACTCCACCCACTGGCAATATGTGAAAATGCTAGACGAAAGACGAAATAGATGCTAAAACACTCTATCCTGATCGTTTTCGATACTCAAAATTCCAATTTCTGACTCCCTACAGTGGTTTTGACGACACAAGATGGTTTTTATACTGCCAAGGGCGTAGCTCGCGTGGTGAGCTGAAACCTGCGTACGTCACGAAGTGCGGAACATCCAATAGGAGAATTCAACTGCAGTAGCCACCGTTCAACCTGAAGAGGGCAGCACTAAGACGCTTTTACACCATATATTGTAGAAATAGAACACTTTATAAACAAATGTCAAAAAAGTTACTCGAACCAATGACTGGTATTAATAAAGATCCATTCTTACAGGTCATTAACTAAAAAAAGTTGGTTAAGTGTTTAGGTACTCTTTAAGAAACACTTTAAATGTGAAGGGTAATCTTTAATCCATTTACACCTGGTGTTTTACTCCGTCTCTATTGTCCACTTTAAAGCACTTCTTTCTTGATTTCTTCGAGGGGAGGGTCTATGGCTGGGGAAATGTATGGGCCTTTTCAGATCTATTGATCTAGTGGACAAAATAAGCTCATGCAATTTACATATGAACGCGACTGGAGACAAGAGGTAACCAGAGGCTCAACCAGGGGTAACGTCTTAAGCCCAATTCTGACGGGATTAGTTTAAGGTGGGGAGGTGGGGCAAAGTAAATATTAGCAGAGATTCTCAGTGATTTTAGTCCCGACTGGAAAAGTTCTGGAAAAGTCACCTCAGGTAATACTAATCGCGTGCCAATAGACCCACTGTAAATATACGTAAAATATTGTCATTTCCTATTTTAGGCGCTTGAAGAAGCATTCAGTTGTGTTTTAGACGCCAGGATCATTCAGATCAGAAAGAAGGCCGAAAGCACTTGTTAGAGGCACGAAACTTCTTTTAGCGTTAGGTAAGTGCCTATTACCAACATAATCCAATCTAAAGTTAATTAATTCATCATTTGGCAGGACATAACTGTTTTATAAATAGAAATAGGTTATACTGTATGTGTTTGCCCACATGACGACAGAAGGGTGACGGCGGTGTGTAAATCGAGTTACTCACTTCTGCTAGTTTTACTGAGATCTCTTATTATCTAATTGGCCATTATTATTACAGACGTCCTGAGGTAAAATCTCCCCTTGTTATGCTAATACGTCCGAAAAGGAGTTTAAAGCAGGAACACAGATCTCCTGGAGCGTCCCCAGCTCGTGAGGGGGTAACTGGGTTGCTCGCTGAGGGCTGAACACGCCGGATGGGTATATTCGGATAAGTAGGACAGATTTCACTCATGTGCCGCACACACACTCACTGCTCAGCGCCTGATTATTGTTATTATCTCTTACAAATGTGAAATGGACTTACATTTCCATCTGTTTGCTGCCTTAGACATGTAGTAACGGGAGCTTTTAGTGAAAGCATTGTAAGAATATCAGGAAGAGTTTTAATTTTACTTACATTATGTTATATGATCTGCTATTACTTTCACATGAGGCTTTTCTCTTTTCAGTAGATTTTAAGAAGCTTTTGCATTGATGTGCATAGTTTTGCAGCCTGGAATTTAATGACACAAAGTCATACGAGCTAACAAGTTAAACTGCATTCCCTTTTAAACAATTACTAGAAGCCAACTCGTTTCATAACTATTCGACTAGTATGTTATTGTGTTATGTTATTCTGAAGGCAATTTTAAAGATTTAATCTTTGTCGTCAAGTAGAAGTCATAATTGTAAGATGAGAAGTTTGAAATTATTACTTAAAAACTAAAGACATACAAAGTTGTGACAAAAAGTAAAAAAAGCATGACTTAAACCCTTATAGACATTAAGTTTAAAGTTTAAACTTACTTTTAAAAAAACCTTTTGCTGATAATTTACTCACCCCCGTGTCATCCAAGATGTCCATGTCTTTCTTTCTTCAGTCGAAAAGAAATTAAGGTTTTTGATGAAAACATTCCAGGATTTTCTCCATATAATGGACTTCAATGGGAACGGTTCAAGGTCCAGAAGGCAGTTTCAGTGCAAACTGTTCAAAGGGCTTTAAATGATTCCAGACGATGAATAAGGGTCTTATCAAGCGAAACGATCGCTCATTTAATAAATAAATAAATAACAAAGTTTAAGTTTTATAAGCTCAAATGGTCGCCTTGCTCTGTTCTGTGATGCGCGTTCGTGACTCTCCAGTTCGAACTCGTTCATCAAAATGAACAAATCTTTTTCAGAGTGAATTCGTTCATTTCGTTCGTTGAATGAAGCAAATGACACGAGAAAAAAGATTAGTTCATTTTGATAAACGAGTTCGATCAGGAGAGTCACGAACGCGCGTCACAGAACAGAGCTTAAAAGTCATAATTATGATAAAGAATTATGATATAAGTGAAAATTGTGACAATATGTCATAATGAAGACTTTCATCTCATAATTGTCAAAATTATGACATACAAAGTCAAAGTTATGTGATGGTTGGGTTGTATATTAAATTGTATTTGGTATCCTTTCTGATCATTCAATAAAATCAATTGTTCACAAAAAATAAAATAAAAACAAAAAGTCAGTTATGACAGAATACTAGTCAAATTTATGAGATGAAACATGAAATTTGACATAGTTATGCTGCGTTCCAGGCAGGTTTTTGAGCACGTAAATCACGACTTCAAACCACGACTTTGTAGCATTCCAAGTCATTCACGCCAGATGTAAACACACCGGCATGGCAGACCTTATGCGCATTTGTAATAATTTCTAACGCCAAAGGTGCTTACTCCTTGTTTATTTGTGGGAAACTGAGGAGGAAAAATAGCGCATAAGGCAAGATAAGCTGTTATACCTTTTATTTGTATATTTGGAAAATGTATTTGGTATTAATCTATCCTTGCTCTCAATGGACTGAAAACTAGTTAACGTTATTGTCCTAAAGTGTATTCTCACCGTGAACACTGCATCCGCAGGAGCTGCCATTGTTGTTTTGTATGGTTTTGCGGACTATGTGACGTCAGATCTCGTAACTGGGAGCATATCGATCTAGTACGAGTTCACGGGTGGGAAGTTACGGGTTTGACTGCCGTTACAGTGCACTTTCACGGGTATAAGGTTGGAAAAACACGGGTTACAGGTTGCCTGGAACGGTATGGAATGAAGTCATACGACAAAAAAGTCAACAGAATGATTAAAAAGTCATAATTATAAATCTATTATGACATAAAAACACCAAATTATGACATAAAATTTACTAATTTTTAGCACATCATAACTTCGACTTTTTATGTAATCATAATCATGATTTACCAAAGCATGATTTTCCCCACTTGTGGCGCACATGGCCTTCCATACCAGTCTCTTCTTCTGAAAATGCCACAGAAAAGCACCATAACGGTAATGTTAATGGGTAGGTGTTCAAAGCTGGCGTTTTCTCATAGGAAGAGAGAGAGAGAGAGAGAGAGATAGAGAGAGAGAGAGAGAGAGAGAGAGAGAGAGAGAGAGAGAGAGAGAGAGAGAGAGAGAGAGAGAGAGAGAGAGAGAGAGAGAGAGAGAGAGAGAGAGAGAGAGACTCCGCCCTCCGCGTCACAGTTTAAGAATCGAAAGATCTCTCTAGCCAGAAGAAGGAGGGCTGATGTGAGTCGGAATGAGAAAGTGAGGGATGTGAGACGGTCGCGAATGCTGGACAGGACCCGTGTGTGAATAACCCGAGGAGCAAACACACTTTCCGCAAGCCAACCACCGAACCAGAGCGTTAACATGGGGAATCGCGTAGTTCGTGAAGATTTCGAGTGGGTTTACACAGACCAGCCTCACGCCGACCGGAGGAAAGAGATTCTCGGTGAGTCGGTTCCCTGACACGATCACTGACTCTGAAATACACTAAATAGCGCCTATATTGTACATGTTAGCGTTGTTTTAGTCTGTTTCTTTGTTTGACATGATTTCCTTATTGTCTGCCTGTCTTTAGTTGTAATTATAGACGGGTATGTATTGTGAAGTGTTTGGGCAGAGATGAATTAGCTCGAGCTGACCGACCGTTATGTGATGGCCGCTCCCAACATGCACTTCGCCACTGAACTACAGTACATTACATATTCGCACGGCTCCTATAATATTACTTTATTATTAATATTATTTAATGTAGGCCTATTTTATTATGTGATGTTTGTCGAACAATCGTATTACAGCTAACTAAGTTAGTTAAACCTCGTCCTATTTTTAACGATTAGCCGCTAGCTGGTTTCATAACTGGTCGAATATAGTAAGTAAGGGTAGACTATCGTGCGATTCTGTGATTATTTTAAAGATTTACTCTGGTTTCTGTTTATTCAGTCATCAATGATTTATTATTTAGCGGTAAAACAGTGAGTTTGCTGGTGAAGTGATAGAATGACTGTGATGGTCACATGAGGAAAAGTTAGGTAATGCTCGCCATCCTGTTCTCACTTCAGTCACTAGCTATGGCTTTTAGTACATTGGCCAACTCAAGATCTATCTATCTATCTATCTATCTATCTATCTATCTATCTATCTATCTATCTATCTATCTATCTATCTATCTATCTATCTATCTATCTATCTATCTATCTATCTATCTATCTATCTATCTATTCAAACCTCAAGCTATTAAAACTAATTCAAACTTTCTGGTCGGGCATTGTTTTTTTTAATTTATTTTACCTAGTTATGAATATAAACGAACACTCATGATATTCTGATGGTACTGAAATCCATATGCTGTGTTAATAGTAAAATATGACTCGAGGGTGTGCAGTTACTCATAAACCTGCTTATGAATAAATTTGGAAAGAGTTTATGATCCAGCGTTATCCCTTCCATACAGTTTGGATGAACATTACAGTGGGTTTATGGATCACGTTTCACCTCAAGCATTCTGTGTTTTATATGAAACGTCAAATAATGAATTATTCATAATACACACACACACACACACACACACACACAACAGTCATCTGTAAATTATTCTGTAGTTTCTTAATTATAGGCTTCAACGTGGCCTAAAGGAAAATGTGCTTTTCACTGCTCTCATAGTGAATGACTGCAGAACAAAATGTTTCTTTTATTGAACATTGATGGATCATCAGATTTTGTAGGAGGAAATTAAGTCATGCAAGTAGTATAAATCGTATAAATAAACGAGGTGACGCCCACCAAAAATAGAAAAAAATACAGAAAGAAATCATAAAAAAAAATTAAATATGTGATGGAGATCCCATAATCATTTAATATAACTTTACGGAAGTACCAATAAATAGGCCTATATTTTCATATATGATTAATTATAATATTTTTAATATGATGGAACTTTCAATATGATTATGGTTATCTCTAAGTTGGACACCCATCTGAATAAATCATTAACCATCTGAAAGGCAGCAAGTCAACAAATGTAAAGTCAGCCGGCTGTTCATTATGTTAATTATTGTTCCTCCACAAACACCACACGCTCACATACTCTCCAGTTATTGAAAAGGCTGTTCATTTAAGTAGTACCGTGTGCAAAACTGAAAATCATTAACAAGACCTTTGTCTCAAAATATATTTATTAACTTTGATTTGCTGTAGCCTATAACATTAAAAAAAAAACATTAAATATTAGGCCAAACTAATCGTGTTTGTATTGCTTGAGATTGAGTCCAGAATCATGCAAATTGCGAAGTGAAACGAGGATGTTTCTGCACCATCTACTGGTTTAAAGGAGAACCAAACGTGCCTTTTATCCCGCTGCACCTTTAGCCCCGTTGTACCGTTTCCATGCTTTTAGTTCACGTTGGTTCTGGCACATATAGACACTAAAGAATAAACATGCATAATTAAACGCACAACACACTGTGCTGTTCACACAACACGTCACCGCCTCACATGTTGAGCAAACGGTCTCTTTATGCGAGTGTGTGTTTGTCAGCATTGGGGATGTTCCTTCCAGTGTGCAGACCTGTGCTGACATGTAGCGTGTGTTATTGCTAACCCCGAAGCTGGCTCGATCCAGACGTGTCGAGGACTGTCGGTTCCTCTGCTTGATTTCGTTATATAAACCCTGGAAGAGCCTTAAAAGTGGAGCTCTTGCATTATGAAATGCCTTGGAGGAAAAGTGCACACATTTCAATTATACTATTTGGTTTGCAGTGTGTTTTCTTGGGAGTTTTAGGCAAACGACGAATGCTTCAAAGGTTACCATATAAAGCATTCGCACGAGGAGAGGCCGGCGCTACACGCCACAGACACAGATCCTGATGGTGTCGAGTTGCATTGTCATGGACATCATTTGACTAAACTTATCTTCCACATCACTCTGTTTAACAATGTTGTCTTTTGTTTTATTTTGGCAGCTAAATACCCACAGATTAAGTCTCTAATGGGACCTGATCACCGGCTGAAATGGATCGTCTGTACGATGGTTGCCGTCCAGTTTTTGGCCTTCTATTTGGTGAAGGACCTGTCCTGGAAATGGGTCTTGTTCTGGACATATGCATTTGGGAGTTGCATGAACCATTCAATGACATTAGCGATTCACGAGATCTCTCACAACACCGCTTTCGGGAACATCCGCGCCAAGTGGAACCGCTGGTTCGCCATTTTCGCCAATCTGCCCATCGGCTTGCCCTACTCGGCTTCGTTTAAGCGCTACCACCTGGACCACCATCGATATTTGGGTGGAGACGGCGTGGACGTTGACATCCCCACTGACTTCGAGGGCTGGTTCTTTTGCACCCGTCTCCGTAAGCTCATCTGGATAATGTTCCAGCCGCTGTTTTACGCCATTCGTCCCCTTTACATCAACCCCAAACCCATCAGTCACCTCGAGATCATGAACACGGCCATACAGCTCGCGTTCAACGCCCTCCTCTACTGGTTCTGGGGCGCCAAGCCCTTGGTCTACATGATGATGGGCTCTTTGTTAGGAATGGGTCTCCATCCCATCTCAGGACACTTCATCGCAGAGCATTACATGTTCCTCAAAGGCCACGAGACCTACTCCTACTACGGATCCCTCAACCTGCTGACGTTTAACGTCGGCTACCACAACGAGCACCATGACTTCCCTAGCATTCCAGGACGCCGACTACCGATGGTAAGCTACGACACAATATATCGCAATACACTAGTGCACCAATACGTGTCGTGATGGTTCACCCAAAATGAACATTTCTGTGTGAGAAAACAAATCATGTTTTCAGAGTTTTAGTGTCAGGACTACATTAAACTACTATAATGTTGAATATAATGTTAGTAATAATGCAATGAGGGAATATTTGACTGAAGAGTTTTAAGGGATAAATGATTGGCGACAGGGGGACTTTAAAATATACTGGGGTATTAAAAATGTACAGCGTGTCCGCGGAGTCATAAAATGTCATAAAACGTCTTAAGGACATAAAAACGTCCGGATTTTCCATACTAGGTCATAAATTACATTTAGCCACGTCTTATATATTGATATGCTCATTCATTCATTATTGCGATGTAATTTTTTCTCTATGATGAAACGATATCAAGAGTTCAATAAATGTTCGATTATGTTTATGCGCCAAAAGCGTACCAAAACTCGTTTGAAGCGCGCGCGCCTCACGGACTGTTTATCCGCTCGGCTCAGAGTCCAAACGGCAGCTCGAGCTCGCTAGCAGACGCGTTTACTCTGATCAGCCTCGAAGCGCTTCAATTCAGCGAAGAACACTAATGTCTGAGTGATTTAAACCAGTTTAAAGGCAGATGAAATTGCGCTTAACAGGAGGAACACTGTGTGTAACTATACAGTCAGAAGGCTTTTCCGTCTACAAATTCCCATCATTTACCATGGATTTACTGTAATGTTAGCCTGGTATATTAAAGGAGTAGTTCAGTTTTAAAAAAACTTTAGCTGATAATTTACTCGCCCCCATGTCATCCAAGATGTCCATGTCTTTCTTTCTTCAGTTGAAAAGAAATTAAGGTTTTTGATAAAAACATTCCAGGATTTTCTCCATATAATGGACTTCAATGGGAACCAAACGGTTCAAGGTCCAAAAGACAGTTTCAGTGCAAACTGTTCAAAGGGCTTTAAATGACTCCAGATGATGAATAAGGGTCTTATCAAGTGAAAATGAACGAATCAAAATGAACAAATCTTTTTCCGAGTCATTTGGTTCATTCTATGAACAAAACAAACAAATTGATTCAGAAAAAGATTTGTTTATTTTGATGAACAAGTTCAAACAGGAGAGTCACGAACGCGCATCACAGAACAGAGCAAGGCGAGCATTTGAGCTTATAAAACTTAAACTTTGTTATTTATTTATTAAATGAGCGCTCGTTTCGCTTGATAAGACCCTTATTCATCGTCTGGAATCGTTTAAAGCCCTTTGAACAGTTTGCACTGAAACTGTCTTTTGGACCTTGGACCGTTTGGTTCCCGTTGAAGTTGAAGAAAATCCTGGAATGTTTTCATCAAAAACCTTAATTTCTTTTCGACTGAAGAAAGAAAGACATGGACGTGTCGAGAAAAAAAAACAGCAACGAGACTGAAGATTTTAATAGTTCCTTTGTAAACTAATGTTGTTCAGTTTGCTATCATTTGAGGCATTTATATGATCTTTATCTGTAATTGTTGTAGACAAGAATCACCAAATGGCTCATAGTCTACTGGACTAATCTAGTCTGAAGTAAAGATTAACCAGCTGAAGACATGCTAACAATGCAGTTAATCGTTCACATCAGATGACACTGACGAGAGCACTTCTCACGGGTGTTTAGTCTAAGATTTATTTCTGTACGTTGTTTCCTCAGGTGAAGGAGATCGCGGGCGAGTACTACAAAGATCTTCCCTGTTACACGTCCTGGGTCAAAGTGCTTTACGACTTTATCATGGACGATGAGCTGAGTCCGTACTCCCGTGTGAAAAGACGACTGATAGGAGAGGTCAAACAAGAGTGACCTAGAGTTCACCCATCCCTGACCACACACTGTCTCCAGAGTCCAGAAGCTTCCCGGCCGCTTCGTTTTTTGAAGAATTTTAATTGTGAACCAAAACGTCTATTGCACATGGTCTAAACATTCAGACTCTTTTATTCTAGTTTAGTGGAATTTTCCTTTTTTACATTTCAATGCTAATGTTTCTCTGCGCGGCAGATTTTAAACATTGTGAGATTCGATAGGTCAGCAGTTGATGTAGCGCTACATGCTGATTCAGTGTTCTGCTTATCTGTCCGCTCTCCTGTCATATTTAATGAATAACGCAGAGCGCACCTATAGATATGTTCTTCCTGTTATGGTAATGCATCATATCACAGTCTGCAGATCTGCACCATCAGATCATGGTCCAGTTCCTGTAACTCAACTCTTTTTAATAGACGTGTGTTTGTGCCTCCATTATAGGATATTATTTCAATTACAGTTTTTCTCCGTCGCTTTGGTGCATTTCTCACATCACTATATTTACATTTGCACAACAGTTAATGCAGTTCTCAAAACAATTAGTACAAACTGCAAAACTTAGTTGATAACCTGCTAAAAGTGTGTCACTTGCTCAAAATTGATAAATCATTCCTCAAAAGCAAGTATTCATGTCATTGAAAGTGTCAGTGTGGTCAAGATGAAAAGTCCTAACACCAGTGTTTATGAACAAGATAGTCAAATGGCTTTGTCATGTTTTCATTATGATAGTTTACTCTGTAAGTGTTTGACAATGCAAAAAAAGTCAGATCTTGGTGACACTACCTGAAAATGCTCAAGACAGTCCGATAAACTATTTGCACAGCCATTTGAAAACTACAGTGAAGTTTCACATTACTGTATTTAGTGAGGTACAGTAACTGAGTGCAAGACACTGAGTATGTATGTTTATGTAATATTTTTTACTGCATGCTCTTTGCAATTCTAATTTGTTCAGAGCATTGTGCAAAAGAAAAAACACACCCTTATTTACAACAAACATAAACTCCCTTTGGGTGGATCGGTGCACAACTGTAAAGTAAACAATATCACAGTACATATTGGAACATACAACATACATATACTGTAAATCATTCATGCACATCTCTTCTCATCAGTGAAAGCTGAGATTCACCTGCGAGAAATTGTTCAATTTAGGATAAAAAAGGGGGGGTTTTTTAAAGATAAAAAAAAATTTCTTGACAGATTTTGACAACTAGTTTAACATTTTTGTATGTGATGACTCAAGCAATGAAATGAGGACTATTAGTTTATATGGAATGACTATTCAGCATTCACAAGTATAGTTAATTTGGACTGATATGACATAAGCATATGATAATGCTATAAAACAGCAGAGAGTTGTATGAAAGCAATTGATGCATGTCCAAAAGCATTTGCAATTTGTTGGAAGGAATGAGAAACTGCTACTATGATGTGCACAAATGATTACATGTTGTGGAGGTTGAACTAACTGTTGTGCAAATGGAAATAGTGATGTGAGAAATGCACCAAAGCGACTGAGAAAAACTGTAAACAGGAAAACCGTTGCAAATGCACACTTTGGCTAACAGTGAAGTACAGAGCTGTCTGTAAACATTTATATGTTTATATATATATATATATATATCAAATTAACTAAAATGCCTTAATAAATTAGACGCCTGTCAAACTAATTATTGTTGTTATTATTATTATTAATCTAACACACACACACACACACACAAACATATATATATATATATATATATATACACATATACACAGACACATAATTAGAAGATGTTACCTTCTAATTTTCATTTCCTTTCCTTCCCAATTTTCAGGAAATGACATAACATTATATGGTAAACCGTACGTGTGAGAGCAAACCCTCTTTGGTTCGTATGGAGCTAGAATTGGTACTTTATTACATAGAGACACAAAAGTTTGAGAGAAAAGGTTATCACACAGATAGCAAAAAAAGCTTTTAATTAGAGAGAAAAAAAATATTTGAGAGTACGATTTTGGCTAAATTCATAATCGCGATTAATCGAACAAGTTACCTCGATTACGATTATTGAACGATTATTTTAATTTTTTTCTCGTATGTCACTGGCAAGGCTTATGCCGTAAATATGTTCACGGATATATGAAAGAGTGCATAATCCTATGTTTGTGATTCTAAAATAAGGAAACACACAGATAACTTTAAATGCTTATTTATAAAACATAAAAAGAAAGTTTCCTAAAAATGTAGAAAATAGTTCTTTTTGTAAACAAAAAAAAAATTATTGTAAGTATTAACATCTTAAAAGTAAAATATAACTTGTATAAAAGTACAAAACTAGTATAAAACTGATCTTTTTTATATCGTGTAGCATTAGTAATGCTTGTGTTGTGGAAAGCAGCACTTGTTGCTGGGCGTTTGTTTTTTTGGTACACGCGGCTCCTGTTGCGGAGATGACTCAGTGTTTGAGTTCCCTTTCACACACAGATTCCGGAAAATACACGGATAATGTGACCCGGGATTTGACCCGGGTTCGTTTGACATTGGTTCATTCACACTACCAGTGATTTTCCTGAATCAGAGAAACAACCCGCACACTGTGTCACACTGGCGTTTCCCGCTCGCTACGGTGCGCTTAGATAGTTCACTTTGAAATTAATTTTTGGTATATTTTATCTTACCTCAAGGGCATCCAAGATGTAGGTGTCTTTGTTTCCACAGTATTTTCAATTTTGACATTTTTTGGTCAAACCGTTGTTGTCTGTCAGTCATATAACGCAGGTCTATGGATCTCCTAAAAGAGCAGCACAGAGAAGTCCAGATTAAACATGATTTAATGACTCGTAAATGTAAGTACACATTGATGGCCTAAGACACGAAACAAGCGGTTTGTGTGAGAAAACCAACAGTATTTATTATAGTTTTTACCTCTTGTTAACAGCCGTCGAACCGATCTGAATCAGAAGTCCAACTGAACCGAACCAACCGTCTCCAGACGTTACGCCGGAAGTGATCTCTCGCGCGTATACATCACGCATTGTTTACACGGAGATTTCAGAAGTTTTACCTTTCACTAAACATATTTATATTCATATTTGGGAGACGATTTCAAAATATCTAAATATGTTAAGTGAAAGGTAAAACTTCCGAAATCTCAGTGTAAACATGCGTGACGTAGATCACTTCCGGCGTAAAGTTGGAGACCAGTTTTTTTTTTTTTTTTTAAACACTTATTTACAAAAAAACAATTTTTACAAAATCTCTCGTTGGGATACTCGTGTGCATAACATAAACAGTTAGTTGGAGACAATAGATATCATATTGGCTGCTGGAAACATAGATATCTATATAAAGGCTAGACATCTCGTCCACGCTGCTGGCCAATGGAGGTCGACGTCTGCACCTGGCGGCCATCTTGTCACAGGCAGCTCGCTCACTCGTAACATTGTGTTAAAGGGTTAGTTCACCCAAAAATGAAAATTCTGTCAGTGTTTACTCACCCTCATGTTGTTCCAAACCTCTATGTGTTTATTTGTTCTGCGGAACACAAAGGAAGATATTTGGAAGCATGTTTTAATCAAACTCATTCCCCATTGACTACCATAGTATGTATTTTTTCCTACTTTTTTCCTTCCTTCCTTGGAACTTGAGGGTGAATAAATGTGAACTAACCCTTTAATGGCACATGTCTTTACTTTCTTTTTTGCTCGCAATAAACTTAAATCAATCAATCAATTAATTGATTTAAGTCAAATAAACTTAATTAAATCAATCAATAAATCAACGTTTGTTTTGAAACACAGTTTGTTGTTTATTTACAATCCAATGTTTCAATTCAACTAACCAAAAACATTAATTTCTATCTTCATTAATTCCCTCTGTCTGAAATGATGAGTGTTTAAGGCGCAGCTCCTTTAAGGCTTGTCTGTAAACAGCCACTGTTATGATTAGCTAATATAATTGCATAGGAAACAGTATCAACACCCACTCGCTAGAGCACGCGAATAAGTGTTTTGAAAGCATTATCATATAAAAATGTAATTTACAGGCAAAGCCTAATGAAATCATGACTTATGGTTTGTGATGCTGCTGCTGTCAGATCCAATGCAGTCGCTGCTTCATCTTTCAACCAAAGATGGTAACGCTTTACCTGAAGGGATACGCATAAGACTGACATGACACACGTTATGAACATGAACGAGGGTTTATGCATAGTAGTTAAAAGTTTGGACAATTGGCTATTTTTCCAACTTCTCTGTTTGGGAAGAAAAGACAGGATCTATATTTCTGAACAAAAGCAATTAAAAGAACAAGCTTTTAGATCAAAAGTGTTTGTTTTTTTTTAAAAATGAAAAGTTTATTTGACTGTCAAAACTTTTATACACACACAATATCTTTCTCTGCCTCATCAAGTGTGTCGAACTAGAGACTAATGTATTTTCTGCTGAGTGTGTGTAAGATTCGTGTCCAAATTCAATCTATTGTTGAAAATCAACAACAACAACAAGATTAAAATGAAGTTGTGTAATCCAGCCATCATCTTCTCGTGTAATGTTCTGGTTAAAACACTTTCTGAACCTTCCCTTCATATTCAGTTTATTGCATTTATGATTTGGCTAAATCTTTGATTGTGTAAAGATGTTGGTCCTCCGTGAGCTGAATCTCCAGTGGCTGCGTGAGTTTATCAGCGCCGTGTTCATCAGCGCTCGTCATCTCGTGAGAGTGTCCTTCAGCTTCTCATACATTAACTGCTCCTGCGAGGAGGAGATAATAACCACGATTACAGCAGCCGACATGAGAACAAGAGCTGGGTTTATGGATATTCATATTCACGATTACAGCGGCCAACATGAGTATTTTAAGCAGTATTCCAATTTTGCCCACAAGTTAAATTTGCACGTTTGTATGTAAACCGCTAGCGAAGCACTAAACACACACTAACTACACCAACGTTTTGTTGGATTTTGTAGCTAATGCAATTTTTATACAAAATGACTCAAAGCCGAGTCTGGCCAATCACAGTCTGAGAGCTCATTTCACTCGTCACTTTGACATGCAGTCGTGTGTGAGAGTGTGTGGAGTGTTATTGGTGTAAAAGTGAGTCTGGTCTTGTTCTCGTCACTCACCTTCTTGGACACGGACGGCCGCACTTTCTTGAAGGCGTCTTCGAAGTGAACTCGACTCACTCTGATGTCCTTCACTGGCTCTGTGACACAACACACACAGGCTCAAACTCAGCTTCTGCTTCAGGTGTGTGTGTGTTTGAGCTGGTGCTGTGTTCAGGTGTGTGTGTGTGTGTTACCTGTGTGTGTTTGAGCTGGTCCAGTGTTCAGGTGAACTCTCAGAGCGTTAACACTCGCCTCTCGCACCAGCGCCGACAGATCTGCACCTCTAGAACAAACACACACACACACCAGCAGACGTCATGCTACGGAGAGCAGAGATGCACGATGCACTGGCCATTTCCGTATTGGCGGATAGCTCTTCATTTTTCATGATTTCGGTTCGATACGAAAATAAGGGCATTATGAAATACTATTTATTTTTCCCTAATTTCAGTTTCCACTCATTTATTTTTTTTTATATCTGGACTCTGATTTAATGCTTAAATGTTAGTTATCAAAATAGCATGTCTAATTAATCATGAAACTTAAACACTTAATAAATTGTTCTTAAAATTATGACAAAAATATATATATTTTATTTATGTATATCTTTTTTATTTTTGTTTTCCGTTTATATTTTTCTGGATTCCAGTTTAATGGTTAAATTAAACTCTAAACAGATTAATTCATTAACTTTTTTTTTTAAACAGAGGCACATGAAATGTTTTCTATATTTTCTTTAACATCAAAAACAATAGTAATCAAATTAAGGCATAAAACATGAACAATTTATTAAATCTTTTAAAATTTAAATCAAATAATAGTTACACATTTTCTTTTATTTTTTGGCAAACAATGTGAGTGAGATTTTTTAATAATTTAGTTTAATAATTATTATTCACTTATATAGTATTATTATTATTAAAGAACTATATGAAAGCCAATAAAGTACTGACTAAATACAATTATTGGTTCAAGTAAAAGCAGTTGTCCACTGTATTTGTTTGCATTTTGTTTTGTAATCAGGCAATCAATTTATATCAAGATTTAGATTTATCGGCCAATATATCGTTTATCAACTACCAAATCTAAAGGATTAATAGTAATCGGAATATCGGTTATAGGCTACTAAATATAAAGGGTTATCGGCAACGAAATATAAAGGAATATCGGTTTTCGGCAACAATATATAAAGGAATATCGATTATCGGCTACCAAATATAAAGGAATATCGGTTATCGGCAATCAAATATAAAGGAATATCGGTTTTCGGCAATCAAGTATAAAGGAATATCTGTTATCGGCAATCAAATATGAAGGAATATCGGTTATCGGCAATCAAGTATAAAGGAATATCGGTTATCGGCAATCAAGTATAAAGGAATATCGGTTATCGGCAATCAAGTATAAAGGATTATCGGTTATCGGCAACAACATATAAAGGAATATTGGTCATCGGCAATCAAATATAAAGGAATATCGGTTATTGGCTACCAAATATAAAGGAATATTGGTTATCGGCAATCAAATATAAAGGATTATCGGTTATCGGCAATCAAATATAAAGGATTATCGGTTATCG